GTCGCGAGCAATGACCCTACACAAAGTCTTTGACTTTTGTTTATATTCACTGGAGAGCGTGATTCACAATTTTAGCTCCACGATCGTTGATATCGAAACACCGGAACTGATAAAAGATTAACTCGTTTCATTATTTTAATCATGTTTTCATAGAACAGCTTCCCAAGATGATTAATCATTTTAATATAATGTATTACTTTATTAGATTTAGCTTATAATTTATAATGGAGCTTCCGGGAACCAAAATGGCGCCCTACGAATTTATACCGTTGTCCATTTTTTATTATTCTCTACATTCCACGCTGTAAAATCATCGCAGATCGAGTTCAAAGCACCCAGAAATTATTCATTCACGCGTTAACGGCGCGCTTTCGATCGTGAATCGGTTCGATACGTTTCCTTTTTTTTTTTTTTTTTTTTATTCGAGAACGACACGCGAACGATTCGCTCGGTCTCTTATTCGTACCCGGGGCTGTTCTTTCGTCTTAGCTGGATGGCACTGTCGCGTTTCTGGCCATTGATCAAACAGCTTTTATTTATAGCCGAGACAACAACGTTCCTGTACTCTGAATTTTTTCTTTCGCACATTTTCGCAAAAAAAACATTCTGAATAATACCTCTTAACGATTCAGTCGAAATAAATTATTCTTACGTTGGTTACAAATAGACAATGTTAGTAGAGGTAACGTTAGTTATAATTTTTTAAAGAATTTTTGAAATTTTGAAGAATCCCTTAAGATACATTTAAATTCGTTAATTAAATTTTACGAATGTTAGCATTATCCTTTTGCAGACATATACTTTGAGAAAATGAAGCTGAAAATAATTTTCAATTTTTTCAAAGTTAGAAATTGAAAATAGCCAAATGCAGCCTAGGAATCCTCGGAATTTACCGAAAACAAATACCGTTAATTAATCTTAATACGTAATCGTTAAGTTGGAGGGAAGATCGTGGGAAAAGTGGGAAATGATTTCTCAGGGAACAATGAGGGAATCTCGCGAGCACTATGCTCGCGCAGGCTGATGTAAGGGACTTAACGGAGCCTTAAATATTCATTACGTGTCGTTAGACTTCTTTCGAGGACGATAAACCCCTTTCCAAAATTAAAACAAAATATTCTGCGTTCCTGGCGCTCGAAGCTGCCGAGATATCATCGCGTATGTATATTAGATCCTGTTTGGGTCAGTTTATGAGTCACTATGCGTGTAATTCGGGTGACGAGCGATTACGCAGGTGTAGGGAGATACCTCGGAGACATAGATTGCATTACGTGTACTCGAAAGTAATGTATTCTGTGAATGTAATCTGTGAATCTCGATATTTGTGTATTATTCATCAGAGAAATTGATTTTTATCGACATGGCATTCAAAATTTGCACACTAGATGGCAAGAGGAGCCCTCAGTGGCTGTAGCGGTATTTGTAGGTATAGTACGGGCTTAGGAACCCCGAGGTACCCGAGCTAGAGGGGGGCCAACGGGCCCGAATAGATGAGAAGTAGAGATACTGGAAACAGTATTAAAACAATGCAGGAGTCGTGTAAGACGATGATAAGAAGAATGGAAATAAAGTAGTAATAAGTAAGCAGTAGTGCAATAATTTTGTAGAATAAGTTACGCACTTTAAATAAATGAATGAATGATGGCAAAAGGAGGGTGATTAAGGAGGGTGGCGCTGGGGTGGAGATGTATACATTTTAGTTGTAAGCCAATAAACGTATTAACCTAACCTTTCATTTATGAACCGATTTGGATCAAATTCACACGGCGTAATATTTAAATAAAAAGGAAGTCTTAGAATAGGAATAGTATTCCACGCGATTATTTTTGTCCGTGTTAGGCCTTCCTAGATGGCGCTGGGATCGCTTTTCTTAAAAAATTCTTATTTATGAACCGATTTGGATCAAATTCACACCGCGTAAGATTCAAACAAAAAGAAAGTCTTTGGCAAAAATACGAACTGTTTAAGAATGTATTCGAATTCAATATAAAAGAAACGACGTTTCTTTTTAACCCCCCTAATATAACTTCCATTCAGACTTCCAATGGCTCCCTCGATGATAATCTAACCTCGAAACAGTGTAAACCCTCCAAGCAGGCTACGACGAGACGCAATAGGCAAAACTTGGAACGTTTTCCGGGCGATTGCGTTATTACTTGTCGTTTCTTGAAGGCAAACAAGCGAGGAAACGAGCATCAATCCCACCCCGGCCAACCCTAATCGCTTTGTAGTCATTCAGCGGAGCTGAAGCACCCCAGCACTGGTAGAGATTGGTTTTCGAGATAATCGACGGTAAACTGGATTCTAAGCCGTCCAAAATACTTTCCCTTTTTTCTTTCACTCGTCGATCCACCTCTTTCTGGATTTTCGAACACTCCTGGCAGACTCGACTAGACGTTGCTTACCTGAGCAACCCCTTTTAGGCGCGAGAGGCGCGTATGGGCACTTGGACATCCAAATCCGGACCCCGGGCACGTTTTTAGGACTCGTTTTTCAATCTGAAACGGATAGAATGGTTAGAATTCGTTTTCAAAGAGGGTGGAAGGGGGCGAGCATTTTTCGTGGAAGTATCGGAGAGTGTAGAAAATGGTGGATTCAATACAGGACGCCATTCGACACTTTTCCGATATTTGATTACGGAATTCGAGACAGTCTACTCATCCCTAGTGATGAATCAGACAAAGAGGACGTAGATAGACACCACGTATTCGACAAAAATACAATTTTTCCAAGAAAGTAGATTGTTCAAGTGTAGCTTTACATTTTGTATATTTTAAATATTTTTACGTCGAAAGCTTTGATGCCTTTATTCAGAATCGAAATTTCATATATCGATGATTTTATTAAGAACAATAGCTAAATACATAGTTTCAGTTGATTGTAAATTAAATTTGCAAATCATTCTTTTCTATATTTTTCTTTTAAACATTATTCGAACCTACATTATTCGAGTATGATAAGTAGACGTACAATTAGAAACGCTTACAATCCAAATTACATTAGAAATGTTAGATACGTGGTGAATTCGTTTAAATTTTGCCGCCAGAATGGTCGCTTCCGGTTTTGCCTGGGGTCAATCAGTCCGGATCACTACTCATCCTCTGTCCATTCGTCGTGGACTCGTCGACTTCCCAATTTCCAATTCGCTCGAGAAAGAAGTCGGGACTCGTCTGCGTCGGTCAATTTACACCTTGCTCCCTCGCGAGATAAAGAAGCCCTCTCCGGAAGCCATTACGGGCAGGAGGAGGGGGTGAGAGCTCCAAAAAATGTTTCTTATTCCACGAGCGACCGCAACGCCGCTTATTTCACTTCTCCTCTAATCTCGAGGCGCACCGTGATGGAGATGGAGCATGGAGATGGAGCATGTCGACGAGCCAGGGACTCGTTCTTTTGGTGGCAGCCGATGATGATGGTCTGTGTGAACTGGCGAAACGAGAGGACCGGCGAAAACGTGATCTTTTGGAAAGCGGCAATTATACGAGGGGAAACCGTTCTCGAGAACATTGAGATCTTATCTCGGGCTACATCGAACTGCATGGAGAATATTACTTGAACGCGATGAAAAATTATGAAAGGAATAGGAATATGTTAGTACGGGGTGTAGATGTCATGGTGTAGGTCCAATTGTCGAAAAAATGGACGAAAATGGCCCCTAGACTTATTGGTCCGCCATCTTTCGGAGCTTCCGATCGTTTTAAAACTCCTAATACCGGTAATAGATTAATTCGAACGCTTGATCTAGGTCACAAAAGTATCTCTATTGATATTTATAATAGTAGATAGTAGTGTTTGTCGCGCTAATTTTTGAACAAATCAACGAAAAAACTTCCAGACGTATTGGTCCGTCGCCCCCCTGAGAACCTAGCGTCCCGTTCCCTAGGTTAACGATCTAGATGGACACTAAACATTCCATCTTGGCCAAAGTATCTTAATTAGGGGTCCACCTAAACCCGGTCAAGGGATCTCGAGCATCTGTTCTCCGATTAGTCGGTTTCGTCACGATATCGTGGACATTAATCACGATCGTCGAGTGCATCGCAACACCGTGGAAAAAACGCCGGTCTCATCGTGTCTCGGCGAAGGTGCTCGCCTCCACGGTCACAGGGGGAAGTCATCCATCATCGCTTTGGCGACAGCCGCGCTATCAAAACCGCCACGATATCTTGGGAGGCCGTTGTTCGTCTTTCTTCTTGAAACGGAATCGAGAACAAAGCGTGTCCGTGTCCGTGCGCCGTGGATCCATTAGGATGCATGCCAAAGGGGTGTTAGAGCCATTAGGTGGGAGAATAGTCGCAGTTTTCTTCGCCGACAAAGTGACTTTCGTTTTGTTTCGCCGAGTCTTCTCTTCCATTGTGTCCCAATCGCGCGGTGTCCTCGTTTTTAACTTAGGACATACCTGATCCTGGTCCGAGATAGTCCAGCGACTCCGTCCTCCATTATTTCCTCCTTTC